TTTGTTGAATCATCAATATAATTTATTGGAATGTTAAAACTGATAAGCATTGCTGTAAAACGTTTTGATGTTCTAGCAATCATTTTGACTTTCGCACAAAATTATTTTGATTATTGAACAAAAATTATATTTTCAGACCTGGATTCAGCTAAATTGTTCTTTCCGTGTGCATATAAATATATCTGTATCTTTCAATCTCTTAAAAATAATTACATATCAAAAATATAAAGAATTGCACTGAAAGAATTTGCGTGTAATTGTCGAATGAACGAGCGTTAAAAGTTAATTAAAGAGATCTGTAAGAATACAGAATGCTGAATAATGCTGAATAATTCATGTTTCACCTGTACCTTCATCTAAATGTTATTTAAATATCGCAACGAGGGAGCTTTCTTTCAAGAGGTAAATTCTTTTTTGAAAATAACGTAGCGCATATCCTCATGATGAAATGAGGCTAACAAGTTTTATGGCAGTGATTAGTTATTTATAGAGAGATGGCCGTCTCTCGCAAGATATCATTCGGTTTAAAAATGAAATACGTTAATATAGAAGAAACGACATTCGCGAAACTGCGCACATTTCATTTTATTTCTGTTTTCTTTTCCGGCCACGATGTTATATGAAGCTACGCGAATTCGATCGCGTTCGTATACGGATCATTTCACTTCGTTTCGGATGAGAAACGCGCACTTCAAGTCAGGAAGCAGATATGTGTCTCGTGAAGAATCAATAAAATCGATATTACACCACACACGAACGAGTGTTGCCTTTCGTAACGAACTAATTCCGCGTCGTCCCAAGTAAATCGTCGTAGGTACGTGAATCCGCATGCAGACGGTATCGCGTAACACGAATTCACCACTGCTTCGCGCCCGCGATATCGCCACTCCCCCGCCTCCCCCGATGCGGTAAATATTCGTTTTCCCGGCATTTACCGGAAAGCTCATTGCGCATGCAAACCCGTCCGCGTATAAATTTATACAAAATTATATCTCTCTTTGAACGTGTCGTTCGGATTTACGCATCGCGTGTGCGTGCGCGCGCGTTATTCTTTGTTTGCAACGCGCCAATACTTTTCTCGATGTGCATCTGATAAATCCGACGTGACATTAATCTGTCGCGTGATACGCACGCTGGATGTTTAAAATTTTACCGGGCAAGATTTTTCAGATATTTTTACAAATTTAGAATTGACTTTTTTTTAATTGAAAACATCCAGGTACCGATATTTTTCATTATTAATAAGCGTCCGGAAATGAAATATAGTTTTGTTATCCGCTTAGATTCCAGCTTCATCAAAATCATAGAATATTATTAAAAATCTATATAAGATAAAAAAAATATGTATGTATATATATATATATATAT